TTCTGGTGACACATTTCTACTTCTGTTGTGATATTTCCATTTGCTTGCCCTCGGGTGTAGGCGATGTCCATGCGCGGCGGTAATCATTTACCATCAGGTGATCTTCCTCACTTTTTCAAATAGAATAAAAAAATATATTCCTAAAAGATTTTTTTCTTAATATAAATCAAGACAATATAATAGGAAATTGTTTTATATTTATTGAGCGATCCCTTTAAAACAATATTTTAGCATGTTACTCAACTGGAAATAAGATACTTAAAGAAAGGTCCCACGGTAACCTCTGAGTGACAGGGATATTATTGTTCTACGACTTGTATTCGGTTACAAAGATAACATCTTCAGTCCCTCTTCAGCAATAATAATTCCGCATGAAGTATTTAACAATTCAAGGTACTTCTTATTAAAACTACGAGTATTTAGTAATCAATTACGGTTTATGCAAAAGGTGGTATGCATGATCTTATCGCATTAAAACTCAATTTAGACACAAAAACTTCGGCCGCGACGCGGTCCTCGAAAATTATGATAGCTCGGCAAATTTGCATGATATACTGGTAAATATAATTTATAAAAATATTCAAGAAGTATACAAAAACCTTGTCCGAAACATGCTACATCTTATGGTGTAAGTATTATTCCGATCAATCCAGTATTTTTCGTAGCATGACCGAACAAAAAAACAAGTTCTCCACATTTAGTCTAATAAGATTAGACATAGTTCAAGGAATATTTGATCAGTTATAATGGTGTAGTTAGAAACTTCATCTTCATCTTCGAAACACCAATCTTCTGAACATATATTATCCCAATCTGAAACTTTTTCACGGCATTCTCTTTTATTGAAGAAATTTCCCAACGCGTCCAAACATTTTCTCTATGCCATCTATTTGTAACTCTTTTAAAGAGGCAAAATAAAACGAAGACGGGTTTGGGAGCATTATCGAGCTGGGTCGGGAGCTGGGGAGGCTTTCAGCCTGTGCTCTAGGGAATTTGACTTCAAATTCTATCAAGTTCGCTTCGTGTCTCTTAATGTAGTGTCTCTGAACATTAAAATACTATTCATATTATTGAATTCTAATTATGATAGTTGAAGTTCATATTATCTTAGGTTAATAGAACTCCTTAATACTCGTGTGCAGCTTAGTTAAATTTATTTCAAGTGATATTTTATTTTTAATTTATGTTTAATTAAATGGAATTTAAAACATTTTTAACATATCATCCTACTAAACAAACGTCGAAGAATGCTACCTAATTTAAATAAAGGCATTTGCAAAGAATACTTTTCTAACAATAAATCCTTCGCGAAATTCGCCGAATAACTCGGTACAAGCCATTCAAAGTTCCAAGTTCGTTCCGTTTTCATTTGACAAACTTTGATCCGGCAGACAGTATGCAATGGAGGCTGACTTTTATAGCGATAGTTCGACTGTTCAAGGGCTACGCCAGCCCTTGAACAGTCGAAATATCGCTCTCCCAAAAATATGTTTAAATACACTTGTGAAATAATGTAAAAGTGAATTTAAAAAGAAAATTTGACCTGAAGTGTACTTTTTTTTATGCAAAAAGTTGTCAAACGAGCAGACAGTTCACCTGATGTTAAGTGAAACCGCCCATGGACATCTGCCACACCCGAGGGTTACAGATGCGTTAACAACCTTTTGAAAATTGGGCTCCGGCTACCTCACTCACCAGACGAAACGAGAAAGTATTTGTCAAACTTCCACTTTAAGCTGGTCTTCTGTGAGGTCGTGGTACTAACCCTGACGGGCCTGCCCATACGTGCAACATCCGAGGCTGCTGCGTTGCCCTTCCACCGAAAAGGGATACACACAAATTAGTGAAATAAAATTAAAAATAAAACATAATGGATATGTATATGTATCCAAAATTATATCCGTGTATATATCCAAAAATCACCCATACTTATGCGCTTGTGGACTTTAACTTCGACTATCCACCGGGTAATTTATCTTACGCTTTACTGGTTGTTTCAACGTTGAATGCGGGTAGCTTGCCGGGAGCTCCACGCCCATGCAGCCGCTATTTGAAAACACGTAAAAACAAAACAATTTCAAACCAGTTTCCCGTTAAATAATTTGAGAACTGTATTAGTGTATGTATATGTTACATATTTTCTAGTATTTTAGAATCAAGCAAATAGTTTGAAGCGCAGAATGTTGAAACTATCTTTAGTAGTAGTTTCAGTACATTTAAAATTGTATAAATCGGCCAAATGCTTGTTAATAATTTTGAAATACACATTAATTATTAGGAAACTTAAGCCACTGTCCACGTATACAATATCTCCCTAATCAATCAATGAATCAAATATCTTTATTCATAAGATTCGCTTGAACGTTCTTATGAATGGTCAAATTTTACTTAAAAAAATATAATTATATATACTTTCGTAAGGTACCACCGGTTCGGAGAGCAGTTTCTGTTGAGAAGAGACCGGCAAGAAACTCAACAGTTGCTCTATTTCAAAAATATCAGTTTCTAATATAACATACCGGTATAAATAGTCTTATTCAAGCCTTCGTGAGTATCAACATTATTAACTCCACACACGGGCGTCGTCGAGATCTTCCGCAATGGTGTAATTTGCTTTAACCATAAGTTGACTTTTCATTTTATGTTTATATTGATCAAGCGACAGACTCAATATCGACTGTAAGTTGACCATAGTATAATGTAAAATAATATCCCCACAAAAGCATATGTGAAAATTTCTTACCAGAGATTTTGTGTATTTTTTATAACATAAACAAACCTTTCCTAAATACTCGTCATTTTTATAGAATTCCATTCGCGTCGATACATCTCATTATTTTCTTATCGCATAAAAAGGGGAACAAATCTTACTCGATCAAATGATTGTACGATTACGTGCAAACAAATTCGAAACGCCTGTACTTTTGCGGAAATACACGTTCGCAATGAAATTCGTCAAAAATATTTTACAAGAAATCCCTCGCCGCATATACCGCATCGCTGCCTGTCTATCGTTTGACGGTGATTGAGTAGAAGATACTTCGCGAGATAATTCTTTCCAACTTTATGCCTAACATAAAAAAGCTTTCACAAAATAAACACCTACTCATAGATCTATTTTAAAATACTATTTGTAAAGAGCATTGGAATGAATCAAAAATAAAAATTGGGAAGCTTACTTTCTGATCAATGTAATGTGGTGTTTTAAAGTTAAAGATAAACGGATCATATTGATGACATTCACAATTTATTATAAAAAAATACAATTTCCTTTACTTTATCCGTTAGTATTAATGCCTACGCAGTTAGATATAACTGAAATTTCTGATATTATAATGTGTACCTTGTAAATATAGTGGACAATTGTTTTTCATTTACATTCCAAATAATAATCCTCTGAATCAAAAAAGATATAAGAAAGACAAAGAACAGCCATTAACCACTTTTATCGTGCGATCCGTGGAAATGCCAACGCGTAAGGGTTACAATAAGTTTCAGTTAAGTAATGTAGATACTTTTTTCAGGAAACGTTGTTTCTATTACGCTGGAAACGTTTTCGGACCGGAACGAGTTATTTGTTGTAATATTAAAAAGGGAAACGCGGAAATTCACTTTTCTTCGTATATGATCTTATTTTAAACATGTACCTATTTTCTTGCTATATCATAAATAAAACCGTTTAAAAACTTTTAAGTTAAACGGTTTTATTTTTATGTTTTTTTTTTTTGTGCACTGAAAACTACAATGTTGTATTGTCATCTAAATTAAATGTGTGTACCAAATTTTAGATCAATCTGACAACGGGAAGGTGCTTAAATTTCAATTTCTAATTTTGACCCAAATAAATAAACAAATTCCGTACGTGACGAGCTAAATCAAACCGTTTAATTAACATTTATTTACTGAAATCTTGTTAGTTTGAATAAGTACGAATGGTTTTATGTTATGGGCCGTATACGAACTACGAGGTTAAACTATGGGTCAGAACCGCCCAAATCTAAATCTGAACTTTAATGTAATGCAAGTCATCAAAAACTTACAAAGATAACCTTCTATATTTGTTGATGACTTGCATATATATCAAATATGAACCATACATCTAAAGCAATCCCATGACAAAACTTATTTATGATGCTTATTAAATGTTACTTTAACTTTACTAGAAAAGTGAATAATCAATTACTGGTTCTGATGGAATACGCGGACTTGATGCTCGTCAGCTGCCTCTATTTTGTAAAAAAAACTTAAGGTAAAAATTAAAACCATATTATTTTAATTTCAGAGCCGTGATAACTCAGTGTCCGGGCGCTCGCCTTTAATTCAATATACTCGAGAAACCTGAGTTCGATGCCGGGGGTGCCGGCACCAATGAAGTTTTTAACTTTAAGTGCTGACTTATCACTTGCTCCGCGGTGAAGGAAAACATCGTGAGGAAACCTGCATATTTTCGAAATAATAACAATAAAAAACTTATATTTCGAAGATATGTGAAGTCTGCCAATCCGCAGTGGGGCCGCGTAGTGGAATATGCCCTGATACCCTCTGTATAGAGAAGGCCTTTGACCAGCAGTGGCACATGTATAGGCTGTTATTTTATTTTAATTTGGCCCATGAATGAAGCGAAGAAGCGAAATCTATCTGCTTTTTTTTTTTAATTTGACATTTTTCTTTACTTTACGAATTTATCAGATAAGCCAACTGGCTAAACTGTTAAATTGAAGCAGCTACCTAGCTTGGCAATAATCGGATTCTCAGTATTCTAAGGTGATTTTCTTTATAGTTATATGATTATTCACCACTCAAAACTACACGTGTTTAAAACCTGAACAGCTTAAACGGTATTTATCACTAAATGGGTGAAACAGCAACATGAGAAATCAAACTAATCGATTTCTACAGTAGACACCAAATAATTATAAAATGTGGCCGTGTTTAAACTTCCCCGCGTGAAGCGAACATCGAGCACGCACCAGACTACAGCAGTTTTCGTTGCAGGCAGGATGTGGCGTTTAGCGCCACTGGTGATGCGGCTGCTGGCCGTGTCACTGGTGGCGCTCGTCCTCGCCGAGCCCGGCACTGGCAGGGGCACAACGGGGATGGCGCAAGTGCCGGCCCACGGGCTGACGAGGTCCGTACGCCCGACAGCGCCAATGCCGCGCACCAAGCAGCAGCGCCGCCAGCGCAAGCGTCGCACCACGACCACGACCACAACGACCACCACGACCACCGTCGAGCCCGACGACGACGACTACGAGCTGACAACGCCAGAAATCACGACCACTGCAGACCCGCGCACTTTCGACCACAGTAAGTTTATTAATTGCAATTGCGTTACTACTCTCGCTTAGTCTATCAAACGTCAGTTGTTAATCCATCTTGGAGAAAATTAAATATTGTATTTACGCTATGAAAAACTTTCGAACTTGTCTTATCCTGTTTTGTAATCTTCGCAATGATATTATATACAAATACGAGGTAGATACGACTAGCGTACCGAAACTAAGGTACTCAAATTACACCAATTGGTATAATTCGATTGCAATTATATATTCTGTTATCTTTCCGTGCCATACGTTCTTTAGCATAATTATGTCAAATTCGCTGTATGTCATCTAATGTAAAGCGTAATAATTAAAATATAGACAAGCGTCATCTTTATTAAAACATCATTAAATTTTTAGTAATTTTACATTATAATTACTGCCTTCAGAATATAACAAAGTCTTGACTAAATATGAAATTTTTAAATGAAAGCTAAATACTTCATTCAAATGTTTAATAAAAAGATACAAATTGATAGATTAATTAATTAATCGTTTTTTAATGTACTGTGTGCCGAGTCAAGCTCAGTAAATTCCTAGGCATTTAATAATAATCAGCTACATAGCCTGGCTGGTGAATAAACGCCCTAGCTCAGTTAAAGAATATTCATTCTTGTCTTCAATATTTTTCCACGCTATTATTAGATGCAAAGATAGGAGCCGGCAGGTTATTCCATTCTTTCGGTGTACGCAAAATAAAAGATAAGGCAAATCATTTGGTTCGAGTGCGTTCAATATCGACAACGAAAGGATAGATCCCGATAAACGTTTCATTTTCTGATGATAGAAATACAGTTAAATTTATGCATCTCCATCGCATACTCTTCAAAATGCATCCTATAGAAAACTATGAGACTGGCTGATGCTCGAGACTAGTACCAAATTGGATCTAACCTGAAGACGCTCCTTATATTCCAAGGCCACTTTATGGAAAGGAGGAGCGAGTGTGAGCTTCTCTTTGTGGTGAAAAAAACGTGCCCTATCTTTGGTGAAAAGACACGGTCAATTTTTTAGGCATTGGACCTCACAAGATTGGTATCACCCTAATTTGAGACAGAGAAATGATGAGAGATTCATGTACTTCAACATACCGCCGTAGCTCCATAATATTTCTACTAACCTGAATAATCGGTTGGTTTGAGAATCCATAAATACAAAGATATTTGCGGAAAGAGTGTACCCCTGAAGAACACCTAATTTTGTTATCACTTAATCAGATCAGGAGACTTCGACAACAACTCAGAAAGACTATACAGGCCGTCCTTTTTTACAACAGATTAGACATAATATGCTGTTACCCTAGAAGCTTGTTAATAAGGCTAGTGCGGCAAACACAATAAGACGGGTCTGGATCAGATTATCTCAACTCAAACGTATACTATCTCAATAATAACAAAATTGAGATAATGACAACATCTTTCTAGAAAATGTTGAACTGCTTTAAAAAAAGATAAATCTTGTTTCAATAAGGTACGACGACAAAAAACGCTGTAGGCGAAAGCGTCGCAAACATTAATTATCGCGTAATAATTAAATGCTCGTTAACTCTTACCTGTCCAACTCATTTACTGATTAAAGCCGGGGCGCTTCTCTTTATGCCGTGAACAATCTTACTTACTCCCAATTTCGATTCGATGATATAAAAGAATTATAGTTCGCCTCAACTTGAATTAAATAACAATATATTCATTACGAAACATGAAGGAATTTAAAATAATAGGCTATGATTCGTACTAATCATTTTGGTTCGAGTTTTTATCGGCCAGCGCATACAGATCCTGTTTTAAACATAATTGTCTCAAAGGTATGCTTTTAATTCATTGAACGCAATATTTTATTCAACCTTAGCAAAATTTCCATCCTCAGAATTAAATACTACACTACACTCCCTAACTCATTTTTTAACATTTCTCCTTATATTTACGGTTAACTACAGAAATAACATTTTTGCTAATTCCAATTAATTTTCAATGTAATTTTATGATCAAACAAACCTTTGTATGCTTTTTCTTTATTTGAGTTTTTGAAAACCTAGAAATTTTAATTTTATTAAGTGTCAATTATTATCAGTATTAAATCAATAAAATAACTTTTGATAATAAATCCAACACTATTTAACCTCATTTTCAGGTTACGGTATTCAAAATAAAAAAATAATAACAATTAAGAAAAGATCATGAAATAACATTGGGTAATTTTCATAAATATAGTATTAGTTCATATATCAGTATCTTACTAATTTATATTATTATATAAATCTTATATAAATCCATTTAAAAGAATTATATACATAATAAATTTGTAGTTTCCTGCGTAATAGACACTACATTTATCCTGACAGAGCCTACAGCTTCTCGACCGCTTTTTTTTATTTTTATAGAAGTAAGATACCCTATTTATATCTACTTTATCCTGGCATAGTAGGGCATTACTGTCAAGTGAGCCTCATTGTTTTTTTGCTTTAATCCCAAGAGCGTGTGATCTATCTTGTTAAAGACTATTTTTATTTTTTAAAACTTCACTTTATATCTAATTAGGTATAACAGGTATGCATATGAACTTTGCTTCGCTGATGGCCCTGCACATCGCCGTTTACTATCTAATTGGGTTTAAAAGATATTACGATTCCCAAATACATACAATCCTCAACCGGGCGGATGGAAGCAATCCCGCCGACTGTTTAGGCAAACGGCCCATCGGCCGATTCCCTGCATAATAACCCCATAAGACAACAATGCTGCGAGGCTCTCAAGCCATTATATTTCCAAGTGAATGTCAAGCGTAAATTGCTGGGGAGGCGATTTGATGGCGCGGCGTCACCCGGAACACGGGCTATGCCGTATCCGTTAAGCGCATAGTTCTCCGAGGGGCCGCTACAAGAATTCCTCCTCGCAACGTGAGGACATCCAAATTGTTTGTCGCCGAGCAACGCGCGACCGTTATTTGAGAAAGTAACTCTACGGACATCGGAATGTGTTGAGTTAGCGAGGAATCCGACAGCCCCGAGTGTTTCGAAGATGACCATTCGATTTTGAAGTAGTAGAATTCGTTTTCCGCGGACATTTGTGTACAATGAACAAATTTATTTTTTATGCTGGGTATCATAAAAAATAAATTTGTTCATTGTACACAAATGTCCGCGGAAAACGAATTCTACTACTTCAAAATCGAATGGTCATCTTCGAAATGGTACCATCGAGTTCCAAGAATGTAACTACAGGAAAAAACAATACTGAGAAAAATTTATGAAAAACATTGCCTCTTAAAATGACATTAATGTGATTTAGCTTACAGAAAAATTACTGAAGATTTGACGTTTTTCCATTAAATTCTTAAATAAAAGAAAACTTATAAGCTTATCAGATTTTAATTGCTCATCACGCTAGTGGGGTGCTATTAAAATAACCAGTCTAAGGGGACCGCTGATCCGTAGCGCGATAACCGTGCACCTTAAAACAGCGAGGAAATTATAAAATAGCAGAGGTCAACATGGGCTGGTGTTCCTTGCCCCCCATAGGGCGTTAGGGAGAGGGCTCATTTCACGCCTCTTGAGCGCGCATTGGACCAATATTAGGTTTATTAGATAGATGGATAGCCGTAAAAAGCGATTTTTCATTTTTTTTTTTTCGCTTTTATTACGTTTGTTGAGCCATAGTGACATTAAATTTTAGTAACAAGGGATACTATAATTTATGTACTCCTTAAATGTTACATCAATCAAGAAATCAAGAATTTTACGAATTACATGCTGCTAGAGCTTAACTGTTGTAAGCGAAAAAATATATTATCATGAAACCATCTAAGTTCCGATCACGTCGCGTACGTGACAGTAATATAAGTTTAACACAATTTAACCTAATAGGGAATTGTTCAAAATCTTTAAAGTCATGTGTTCTATTTTTAAAGTACACTATTTTATTTAAACAAAGCTTTGCCAAGTATAAAAATAAGTATTACCCTAACAAAAATATGTGTCCTTTTGACTTCAACGGTCTTTTTATCGGCGAACTAGAAAATTCCCTATATTTACATGAAATGTAGAAACATCAATTGCAAATGCACACTTTTAACAGTGCGGTTGGTTTTGGACGCATTAAAGGCACGTACTAAAGTCATATTGAACATTCTGGAGTTGTAAACTTTTGGTTGCCGTTCGAGAAGTTAAAAATTTTATGTATTACGTTCGCCGGGCTTTTGGCAAGACGCCACATAATCGCAATATGGTAGGCGATGCTTACCCCGTGCACTGACGACATATTGGGTACGACCATTCGAATAAAACTCACAGAGACTAACATTCCGAAAATGTTTATTGTGTCTAAAAGAGCGGTGAGACAAAATTTGATATTCAAAAAAAATCATCTAGGGCGCAATATTTCATTCCAGGCGCTTTATATCAAGAAATGTATTTGGATTACTCTGAATCGGTACATTTGGACTTGTACCCAAAACAATAGATAATGGAAATATCTGCGTGTTCTGTTCAACGAACTTAAACGAAATTAAACTTACTACAAAAGTTGTCTATTACTGGCCCAACACTGCTGGTCGATCAAAACACAGTAGACATAGCAAAAAGTCCCTCCACACCGTTCGCCTACAGCCGCTCCAAACGGGTTTAACAAAGAGCTAAAATTAAATTTACGCGGTGCAAAGAAAAAACTAGTTACAAGAGGAAATTGGCGGAGACAGTGACAAATCGCACCCACGGGATGTAGGTAGCCGCGCTCGCTCTAACACACCTATGAAAAGGTTTTTTTAACCTTTTTCGTTCTTGCACCCCGAGCATTATGCGTTGTACGTCCCGTGTACGCTTTAATCACATTATAGTTGATGAATTTCAAAAGGGTAAATTTATAATTGCTACTCCGCTATAACTCGTACCCGAGTTCTTTTTAAGACTTCTTATTTTGTAATGACACGATGTTTTTGTCGTATCCTTATCTTTGTAAAATACATAGAACACAAGTGACGTGACTTTTTTTA